CTTTCTGTTTCTGTCCCTGTCTTGTCATGCGTAAGCAAGTTTTCTTTATCACTTAGTTATGCAAAAAAAATCAAAAATTACATAAGGTTTGCCAAATTATCACAAAATCTGATCCACTATAATATCTATATTCCAGGAATATGCTGACAGTTGATAACATTAAATGTCATTGAGATGTTCACATTACTCAAACCTTATATCCTGTAATCTGTGCTCTTTCACATTATTGATGGGGCTAGAAAGGGTAAAGCAGCTTTGACATGTCCACCTTACATACTCAGCATGTTAAAAGTGCCAGACTCATTTGTCAGTGCCCTGCATCTGGAAAACATCTTTGCCGGAAGAATGTTCTGCAGAATTAAGTAGTGTGGGAGGTGAGACTATATTTCTATAGGATTTAAAAGGGGAACCAAGGATTTTTATGAGAGGGCGAAAAAGGGCAAAAGCAATAGACCTGTGCAATTGTGGTGATGTAATGCTTTTAAAAAACAGAGCAGAGCAACAGCAGCTTTAACTCCCTAGGGAGGGGGGGAAAAGAGTTTCTAATGATATTTTTTAATACTCAAATTTAAAGCCTATCCTCTTCACTAAACACTTGATTTCTGAAAATCTGCTATACTGGAGAAGTAGAACTCTCTATACTCTGGCTATATCTGAGTATAATTCCACTATAGACTGCTCTATTCTGCACCAGGAAGGTTTCTGCATTTAATATTCTGAATGTGTTTTAGTTTTCAAGAATTTAAATTTTTAAAATCTTGAGATAGCATAATAAAAGAGTGGTCTAGTTCATTATTTTCTAATAGAATTGTCTTAGGAGCCTGAAAGAATTAGATGCTGATCATAAAAACGTTTGAGAAATCAGCTATTATGAATGTAAATAACATAGCTTAATGAATCCTTGTCAAAGAGGATACAATATGAACAATGGAGTAGATTGCAATAAAAAGTATGGTAAGTGAGATCACTATGAATATTTGACAGCAAGCTCTGGCAGACAGATAACAAACGTGCAGATTTATATGCATATAAAGAAGAAGAAGAAAAAAAAAAGCAAGATTTGTTCCATTTATAGCTCTCTTATGAAATATAATCTAACAGCCCATACTCTGCTTTAAGGCTTTCTTTGTAAGTGAAGTGGATCAATTAGGAATACGTAAATATTGAAACAGTCATTTATTTTTTTGAGTAAAATATTGTTCATACCATAAGGGTGCATTTTTACTTATGGTGCACACCTCTAAAATAAGAAGGGCAAAGCACTCAGTACAGTATAACAGAGTAGCTAAGTATCACTTTGTCAAAGTTACTGATCAGTACACTGAGGCATTTAATTAAAACACAGAGTAGGGTTGATGGGTTTTCCTTTTCTGCCTTATGTGTTAAGCATGGTCTATATACTCTCCCTGAACAAATCTTCCTCTTTTTTCTCTTCCTTTTGATTTCTTCATATAAGATTTTTGTAGAGTGTACGTTATGAGAAAAACAAAACTTTTTGTCTCAGAAATCTATAGAAACTCAATAAAAAGCCTGAAATTTTTAGCCACGGGAGAGAGGAGCCCAGAACTTCTAGCCCATGTTCTGGAATCGTTTGTATGCTTTATCCATTGACTGTTAAATGAATAGACTATTTTGAGAACAAGGGCCAGAATTCATTTCTTCTTTCCCAGTGAAGCAATTTAACTACTAAAGTAGAGTCATGCTCCTGCTTGTTCACTTTTCCTGAAGCCTGAATACTTGTTATTTTGTTGTAAAGCTTTGACAGGAAACGGAGAAAGCATCCGTTCTTCCCTTCCATTCTAGTAGCTAATAGCTTGTTATTAAGAGTTCTTTATGGCAAGAGAAGGATCTTGGTTTCAATCCATTTAGAAAAGGAAATGGAACCCATGCTTGCCATTTCTCAGGTGACTGATTAAACCACTAGAATATTCTAAAAATGTTATACAGCACTGGGCAGATTCGCAAGGAAAATTGCAGTTGCACCTGGTCTCCGCATAACTGAAGTTTAGGATTAGTGAGAAGAATTTATTGGCTTTCAATTACGCTTAAGTTTGGTATGATCTAGGAAATAAGTTTTTCGAACTAAGGATATGGACATGGCCAGGAGCACAGCTTTTGCCACCTTGAGAACCTCACAGTTACAAGGTGACCCTTGTGACTATAAGCATCTTCAAGGTCAGACACAAATTGAGAGCAGATTTGGGGGAAAGTTGCTTAGCTGCAATTTTGAACTTAAGTGCCTCATTTCCAATTGTATCTTGGTTTTAATGTCCCAAGGTACAACACTGCAAAGTGCAAAGGTCCATGAGCTGACACTCCCTGAAATAAATGTGAAGTCTATGTGACCTGCGGCCACAGCAAGTCTGGAAGCTATACAGCTTAGTTCCCACAGTGCTTCCTCCAAGATAACTAGCTTTGCTGAAAGAATATAACACATGAAGGCAGTTGTCTGAGGTCACTTATATTAAACCAAATCATGGTGAAATTCAGTTGCCTGGACATAATAGTTATTTAGCACCATTATACACTATTTGAGATAGTCCACATATTCTCTAGATGAGTCCTGACGTTCAGAAGTTTCCTTGCGCTATTTTTCTACACCATGTTAATATCACAAAGGCCAGAAATCCACTGTACATTTGTGTTTAGGTAAAAAAAAATAATAATAACATTCTCCAGGTCCCTTGGCTTGATGTTTTTCTGCCTTTGCAGATGTCAGGTTCACATCTGTACTGGTCTCTACACTCATTGCAAAAACATGCCTGTATACTGAGGGGAATCCTAGAAATACTTTCTTGCAGGTCTGATCTTGAAAGGTGTTTAATATTCTCAACTTTCATTTAAGACAATCAGAGATGCAGGTGTACTTAGCAATACTGAATCTTAGGTGAATACTTTCCAGTTTACATGATTAGGTGCAGAATTGTTCATCATGCTTCTCATTGCAAGCGGATGACTGATATCCCTGATGTATGTAAAGAAATATTGCCTCACTTATGAAAAGTTCATCTCTAGGACAACATGAAAATAAATCAGCAATAGCCATCAGGGTGTCTCTTCTTTGACTGCTGTATGACTAAAAGTTTAAAATTCAAATTTCCTAAAACCAGGACTGACTATTAAATGAATCATAATGGATGATATATATTCTTACAAATAAAAACAATTGGTGCTTTATTAAGAACAAAAAGAATATTTTCAGTGCTGCTTTTATCTCCTTTCTAATCTGATCACAAATGAGTAGTGCTCTTCAGAAACAACTATTTGCTGGATTTGATAGGTGAGAGCAGCTTTCTTTGAGAGCAACATCTCCACATAGCTATGCAATGCTCAGTGTATCTCTGCCAAATATATGCATATATATTCTCTGGTCAGTATATTACATGCAGACAAAAGGGATTTTGTTGCACTCTATCGTGATCTTTCTTTATGACTTTCTCCATATCCCAAGACAGACTAATTGTATCTGGTTTCAAAGTGCTTTGAACAATATTGTAAAAAAAAAAAATGCTATGGAAAGCCTAGACTTTATTAAAATTAGACAGCTATTTAACCCCCTACAGTCTCTGAACCTATTAAATCTCAGAAATGAAATTAGTTGTACGGCTGAATTTCTGTTATCACTCCTTTCAGGTAAATTTTAGTATCTAGGCAAATAGCTTTCAGAAATTAGCTTGGACTCTGACCTGAATTAAGAAATAGGCTGATTTGTTTTATTACCAAATTCTCTTATCATTTGTATAACACCAATAATAATTTCCATTTCTGAAAACCAAGCCACACAGATTATGATCTCAATGGGTGCCGCAATGGTGTATCCATGTGAAGACTTCCTCCAACATGCAAAACCAGCCCCTCACAGAGCAGCTGTGGCTTGTGCATGGTTGAAAGGGTATCACGTGAACGCATGAGTAGATGCTGATGTGGCACCACCAAAATGATGTGCTCTTTGGTGTCTCCTCTAGTTCGTGGATATCCCACATCTTCCATCATCAGCTGCTAGGCCACATCTAAACAAGAGCCAAAGTTAGCCCCACGCATAATAGCTCTGAGGACCAGCCAATGGGAATTTAGTCCCTTTCACCAGGACTGATTTTTGTTTTTTTCAGAGAAGCAAGTCCCCCAAAGCCAGCTTTGCTACTCCCTTGATGAAGTCCTAAGGCTGCTATTGAGGCTTGCAAAAGGCAGCAAAATGGTTTCCAGGCTTTCAGACCTGTTGCCTGGTAGACCACACCATCTGCCTGAGAGTGAAGAAAGACTTCTTTGCTGTGCTTGCTCCTGCCTTTCTTCCTGAGGCCTGTTTCCAAGTTTCTGCAACATTACCCAGGATGAATTTCCCTTTCTCTGTGGAAGCAACTTGAGCCTGGATCATGTACAGTTAAGCTCCAGTTCCCCTTAACTGCTCAGCACATTTCTTGGACAAATCAGCAATCACTTTGAAAAATATGAATATTAATTTTACAGGATTTATACTGTTCTTGCTGATTTAAGTGCTAGTATGTTCAGAGAATTTAATGGAGACAATGCTGGGCTTAAGGCAAACAATCATATAGCCCCATAAACAGACCCAGAACAACACTGAGACTACAATAAAAATCTGTAGTTTGCCAAGTCTGAGGGAAAGACAAGGAGATGGTTTCCAGTAATTTTTCAATTTCCCTCCATTCATTCTTTGATTCCCATTTGCATTAGAAAACATTTTTTTTTTTCCTTTTCGGAAAATGTTAAAAGAGGAAACTTATCTCCCCCTATCCCCGTCTCCTGATACACTGAGCACAAAAGTTATGATGTAAAGACCCACAGACAATTCTTGTGGAGAGTTGGCTGGTTTTGAAAATTGCTCCCAGGTGTTTTGTGTCTCTTTCTTGCTCTAAGATTATACGATTAGCATTTTAATGTCCCACAAGCTTTTGCTGATTCCCTGGGAGGATAGGAAAATGAAGCCATGAAGCTAAGCTGTTTGGTATTTATCATGCACACTCTGATTGTATTTCAGAGCTCTGGGATTTAAACAGGACATCAGTCTTTCACAGCCCATTTGGATATCTGGGTCTTCACATCATGCTCCTGGATGAGTATCAAGAGCGCCTGTTTGTGGGAGGAAGAGACCTCTTGTACTCCCTCAGCTTGGATCGAATCAGCGACAACTACCGCGAGGTGGAGTAAAAAAAATACATGCATTATTTACTTTATGGCACAATGTGTAGCACAGAATACATGGTTGGAGAGGAGTTGATGGGTCTATTTGTAGACATTGAAGTACGGAGATTAACATAAAAGTCATGTTTATCTTTAAGAAAAAATACACTACTTACTTTGGTCTTTCCCCCCCCCCCCCCCCCCCCAGTTATAGGCACTTTACCCCCCAGTAAGAGGCACTTTAGGTGAAGAAGTCTGGAGGATTAATAATATCCATTCCTCAATATTTTTTCAACATGCTTACTAAAATTTAGAGCATCTCACAGCATTTGTGCTTATCTGATCTCCTATATATAATCAAGGAATAATTTCTCCCAGTTTTCTGTGTAGCATTTATTTCATATAATCAGAAAACGGGAGGGTTTTTTTTTTTTTTCAAAAAAAACCCTTTGAGTTCATAAGCTATAAGAGGTATTCAATGGTAGCAAATAAAGAACAACATCTAGCTTTTATTACTCTTTGGAAGCTGCATTTTGCATCACTGTCTCAAAGCTGATTCTATTAAGTAGTCACCGAAAGTGTCATTTGAAGTCTACTCAGTGGTCTGTGGGATGGCTTAAGTCATAATCCTACTGGAGAGCCTGGCACATTGTAGAAACCACAGCTGATTGACATACTGGCAATTGAAGTGAACTGAGTATGAAAAGGGGAGATCCCTGGCTTCCCTACTGATTTATGTCCTTGCTAGCTAATTCTGGAAGAATTCAGCAGCAAAGGAAGCTGTTAGAACTACAGCTCCTGCCTCAACCATTCTGATTATGGATAAAGGATGCTTTGAAATATTTTTTTGAAATATATTTGAAATATTTCAAGGTTTTCTTTTTTTGAAAAGTTTCCTCATATATTTTTCATTTTTATTTCAATGAAAAAATAGACAAATAAATAAAGTCCCTCCACAGAAATGTGACTTTCGAGTTCCACAGTGCACTGACCATCTTTCTTGTAAGTGAATATCACTATCCCTATGCCAACAGCGTCATAAACTTTACCATAAGCAAGCTTCCCTATTTTCAAGTGCTTGTTCCACTACTGTGAATGGATATAACACTTTTTTTTTTCTTCTTATGGACAGCTTGGGAAAGTCTATCCTACATAGGAGAAAATGGATATAAATAGTCACAGAGGTTATTGGAGAATTTATCTACATAAAGGGAATATTGATAACACTTTTTAATTCTTCAGAGAGTAATTGAACCTACTGAGCTTTGTTCCTTTACAGTGAGATATGAGTTAACGCTTTTTCCATTTGATAAGAATTGTCCTCTAATAATTTACGGATGTGTAAGGATACAAAAATATTTAGGAAGCAGCTGTTTCCATAAAATGACTTATTTTCCCTCTTCTTCCTTATTTGGCAATAAATTAGTATGTGGAACATGACAACAATAGAGGATTTTATGCTTTTGCCCAACTATCATGATCCCTTCTGGACACACTCTTGAAGTTCATTGCCCTCCTTGTTGTTTTTACATGGAAGATCGGACATTTACTCTGAAACTATACTCTCTGCCTTGAGACCTGTGTGTATAGTATGATGAATTAGTGGAAGCACTTCTTGCTTGACTGTTTGCTTGCAAAGGATGAGAAACTAGAATAAATAGGGCTTGACCTAACACATTTTGAAACATGACCTCACGGGATTAGCTCCTTAGCTCCTCTGAATACAAATATCAAGGTCCCTTTCTTGTTTCTTCAGGACTGATTTCACTCAGCAGCAGCTTGATGGGCCCACAACGTTATCAACAAAAGTGGGGAGTAATATATCGATTTCACTCAGCAGCACTTAGGGTTAGCTTGATGGGCCCACAACATTATCAACAAAAGTGGGGAGTAATATATTTCTGTTATATCAAAGCTTAATTACTGAGATACAGAGTGAAGTTTCTGGAATCAAGAGACTCATTATTACCCATTTTCTTCATTAGGTTGCCTTTGTATGCTGATTAGCCTTTGACCTTTCCTTTCAAATGGAAGTCTTTATCTTATTTAATCTAAGGCAGCAGTTATAATATAGTGAAAGTAGGAGTGGAGGCTAGTTTCTGTTTTTTATTCTCTCTCCAGTAAACAGGATGAATCACTACATGCAAAAGAGATGTTTCACAGAGTTGATAGCTTTGGGGCAGATTTCATAGAACTTTTTGCTTTTCCAGTCTAGAAAATTGTTGGAGCTTTAATTCATTTTCATTCCTTTTTTTTTTTTTCCCAATTTATAATATAAGTATGCTGTCTAAAAAGAAATAAAATTAAACTCAATCAGAGATATATCCCTTCTGGTATGAAATCTCAGTCACTCTCCATATATTCAGTACTAATTTGCATAGTAAGAATCCCTCAAAGAAAAACAAGTTGAGTGGACGTAAAATATCTTTTGCTTTGAGTCCTATTGACAGTCAAAGTAATCAAAAAAAACCCCTCCCCAATCATCTTGTCTTGCACATGAGATGTGCATTCTAAAAAGAACAACATTTAATGGACCATATTTTTTCCTAAGGTCCTGTTCTCTTCCAATTTCAAAAATCCAGCAACAATCTGAAGGATAGATTATACATTTTCTGTGTGTACAGAAATGCAAAACATTTTTATGTTTAGCAATATACAGCATATATTATTGTAAACACCTTTCACATAATGCAAATATGTGAAATTGCAAAGATCTCTCAGGAAATAAAGTTACTCTTGTCATTCTTTTGTTGGTTGGGGATTCCAGAGAGCTGTGTTTATCCCACAGATGTTCCATAAACTTTCTATGGCATCTTAAGCAAACATACAAAATCTTACTTCTCCATTGACAAAGTGAATAGCAATTATAATTCCTTTGTCTATTTTTTTCTTTTCTGTCTTTCTCTCTTTTTTTTTTTTTTTTTTTTTTTGGGGTGTCCTTTGTACCTCTCTCCACCTACCACAAGCACGGAAGTTTTGTTGTACCGTAAATATTTGAAACACTGTTGTTCTTGTGCTTTGGCTCCAGTATGAAGAGAGCCCTAACACTACCACTGGCAGGAATGATGGAGAGTATGAAATGTGGATATCAATATTTACACAAAATTATAGCCATACAAATACTTACAGTCTTCTGTAAGTCAGAGCTTTGGAGGTAACCTCCATGTGACCTTTGCTATCCCTAGGGATCTCATTCCCTTTGATACCCCCATTTGAAATCAAACTTTGCACATTTTTGGGACTTGATCCAAAGTCTTTAAGGCTTATAACGATCTAACACACTAATAGAAAACCTTCTTTGATGTCTGGTGCCAAATTTACTTTAAAAAGTATTGTAGTTCATTGTAATTGGTGCCAGAGCAGATCTTTCTCGACAGCAAACTTGAACTACTGCCACTACTGCCAGTAGTTCACCATCCCTGATATAACAGCTCATAGAGAAGGACAACCTTTGATTCTATTTTTCCATTCTTGTAGAAGTGAAAATATTCTGCACTTCCTACTTGTCTGAGAGCTCCTTACAGATATTCATCCTTCCTAGCTTATTGTTCAAAGTGCTAGCAAAGAGCTAACTATGAAAAGACTTCATCTCTGTGTCAGTAGGCTTGTGCAAGGAGATTTCAGTGTTTCATCTGTCTCTGGTCTAATGCGAGTTAGCTCCAGATTAGGACCTTTCTGTTGTGATACAGCGTAGAGTAGTGATAACATACACTCCTTCTCATACCTCTGGTGAAGATAGATACATCTTCACTTCTGTGATAACTTAACAAAAGTTAACAAAAGCAGTGCTGGCTTGCAGGTCCTTTGAATATTATTTAAGAATGCATCTATATTCAAATTTTAATGAGAAGTACATAATTTAGCATAATTTTAGTTTGATTAACTATTGAAATATCTCTCATTAGCCAAGTTTTGTCTCCATCTCTTGATAAATGCATATAATATCTTCCAGTCATAACCAGATGCTTTTGCAGAAGTTGTGCTTCATCCAAACATGAGTTATACAGAACAGTAGAATTAAATTTAATTGCCCTGACATATACTCACATTTAGACAGGCTCACAAAGTGGTCCATTCTGGCCTGAAGTTATGACGCTTATATCATTTTCTGATAATAGTTTTCAGTAGACATGCTATCTCACTTTTTTGAGGTTAGTGACTTCACAGTGAAGATGTTTGGAGACACTAGTTAGGATCCCAATGACAATTAAACTGTTTACTTCACCTGAATTTGCTGAGTACCTCTCAACTACCTTATAATTCCATGTATTAAGAGTATATTCAAAAGCAGCTTTTATTTTTCTATCTTTTCAGTTCAGTTCAGCAAGTTATATCATGAAGGTCTTCAAGATAAAAACATTGTGATGCAGGATGCAAAACCATAACTAAATATGCAATTTATAATTTTGTTTCACAGTAACTCGCAGTAGTGACAGGCTTTGAAAAATTATGTCAAATCAAAAGGTCAAGCATGCAGTCACACAACTGGGATACTAAACCAGTCTACATGCACAGGAGCAATTTCCCAAGAATGGTTATTGACAACTTGCCAAAAGACTGTAGTCCTGACCAAAAAAAAAAAAAAAAAAGGAGTTAAAGCTGACAGTTTTCATAACTGTGAAAGTACAAGCATCAGGAAAAATAACATGTCTCAGGTTAAAGACTACTGTTATAGCTGATTGGTTTCTGGATTCTATGTGGTGCAGTTCTTCCCATTAAATATTGCAATAATTGCACAAAAATAATTAAAAATTCTTAACAGTGAGGTTGACAGAGCACTGGAACAGGTTTCCAAGAGAGGTTGTGGAGTCTCCTTCTCTGGAGATCTTCAATACCCGCTTGGACGCAGTCCTGTGCCACGTGCTCTAGGTGACCCTGCGTATGCAGGGGGGTTGGACTAGATGATCTCTAGAGGTCCCTTCCAACCTTAAGCATTCTATGATTCTACGAAACATGGTAAGCGCATATTGATAAAATTCTACCTATGTCCATTTATCAATTTCTTTGAAATCATGGCTGTTCTCCATTACATAAACCAATCTAAAAATGGTGAGGATTTTTTTCTTTTTTTCTTTTTTCTTTTTTTTTTTTTGTTTTGCTATGCACATAGAATGTTTGATATCATGTTTAGAACCAAAACACTTTTAAAAATGAATCTTCAAGTTTGGTATAAAAGCAAAATCTGATGTGCAGGATCTATTTTGGTCTCTAGTCTGAAAGAATCTTAAAGATGTTTCAGCCTCTTTTAGCGTCTATGCTAGGACTCAGGAGTTTAATAAGAGTTATGAGTCTTTAAAAATCAGTTCTGTATAGAGCTTATTCAGGAAGTTCATGTCACTAAAATCATAATTTAAACCCATCTACTCCAAGCAACAAGCATGAGCTTGTCTTAGAGGTAGGTAGTTCAAGCATCTAAGAGAGATGCTCTTTTCCACAGCTGGTGGAAAAGGTACAGAGAAACGTCTGTGTCTCTTATTTTATTAGGAACCTTTCCATAAAATAAGTCATGAGAAGCATCCTAATAGGAAACAGATATGTAACTGAGCCACTTTAGGTCTGGGGTTTCACCTCAAGAAGAATTTATGCAGCATTCAGTTTGGAGAGCAGATATCTAGCAACTAGATATAATACTGGATACAGTGACAGAGGGAATCTTGCATTGTATATTAGCCTCTTGATGAGGTTAACTCACCCAGGAAGCAAAGACTTCTGTCTTCTTTGCAAGATGTTTGTGCACACATCCCCTCTCCTCATTAGCGTATATGAAGGACCAAATTATTGTAGCTTACAAGCAGCTGCTTTTCAGCCTTCAGAAGAAGAAAATGGGGAAAGTGGTCCCCCTTTTTGTTTTTTCTTTCCTAATTCAGTTTATGCATTTAATCCATATCTCTGAAATGAGCATGAGTATATAAAATCTCCTGAATAGCACTGAGACTAAATACCAAAATACAAAAATAACCAGTTACACACCTTCAATATTAGGTTACAGAGTCGAGAGTTTTTATTTGTTCTCTCTGTGGTTTCCCAGTTCCTAATACTGCCTTGAATCACAGATACGGCAACTACTGGAGTGAGTAAAAGCTCAGTTCTAACCCAGTTGTTAGAGCACTCATTCGAGAACTGTAAGCAATGGGAACAAACATCTCGAGGCTCAGGAGATCCAAGAGCTCACATCTCCTAACTTGTAAATCAATGCTTTGGGGTTAAAAACAAGCTAATGCCTAGCTTTGCACCGAATGAACCAGAAACACTTTGAGTGGGAAGCTAGAGAAGTGTCCTCACAGGTCTCCAACAGAGTTCAGGTCTCCCAAGCATACTCAGAGGAAATATATAGCCTAAACAAGGGTGAGATATTTTCTCCCCGTGGCAGAGAATGGCCATAAACAAGTGACTATGAGACTTTGGAACCCAAAGCAAGTGTTCTTGATATCATATACTTTAGAGCACTTAGATCCTATCTGAAAGCAGATGGTTCAACTTGGTCACTGAGACCAATGCACTTACGGGTGCTGAAGTTGACAGTCACACACAGCACATCTGTTGCTTTTAATCATTATCTGATAGGCCTCTTGGATTTATGATTTATCCCCATGACTTAGTTTTTCTCAGATTAAGATTATTTTAAATTCCATAAAACTAAGATAATTAAATTACCTTCCTCCCTCTTTCTCCTTCTCTCCGCCCCCCCATCCAATGTTTTCCAGACAGAAATAATTTCTGACAGGAGTATTGACAAAATTTCTTAATGATGACAACCATTCTTTGATCCTGTCTCTTAATTTCCAAGTTCTTCTGCTTAAGCTGGACCTGATATCACCAAGTGATGTTTGTGTTTTCACTTTTAAAAGTTCTAAGAATTCACCATACCAGTCCATTTAGTCATGGTTTAACATTGCTCTTATCAAAACAAATCATGCATCTGGAATGAAATATAAATTTTACGCAGTAGGTAACTGAAAATTAACTGAAAAAAAAATCCTGCTTGTGCAATTTGGCTTCATTTATAGTAATTGACTGTGAAAAGCTTATCCTACTTCCAGGAGGTTAATCACTGACCCTCATTAACTTTGCTGTAAACTATCTTCTTCCTTAAGTGTCACTTAAAGCAGGAAATCACTGCTTCGAAATTAATATTTTATGGGAAATTGCTGAAAGTCACTTTAAATTTATCAGGGCTATCCATGCTGAGTTTCCACAAAACATTTATTCAGTCCTTCAGAATTCCATTGGCTAGTATTGAGTTTGCCGAGTTACTCAAAAGAAAGTAGCTACATTTCAGGAACAATATTTGTTACGTTATTTAACTTTTATAAATATATAAGAATAAAACCTGAAAATAGTAAATCTGAATAAAATCTGAATAATACCTGAGAATTGCTCCATCATAAAAAAGAAATATTAAACTGTATTGTTACACTGTAACAACAATGTATTTTTGTTTATATTATATGTATTTATATATAATATATAAATAAAATATTATATATATATATATTTATATATTTTTTGTTTAATGTATTGCATATACATTAAATAAATATTTCACGTGATGGAAAAGTAATGGAAAAGCTGGATTAACCTTGAACAACGCCTGGTCCCAGCTGTATGATTTTCTATGCATTTTTTTTCAGATCCATTGGCCTAGTACACCTCTGCAGGCAGAAGAATGTATAATTAAAGGAAGAGATGCTGTAAGTATCATTAATTACGAATCAAATATGGTTTAATTATACCAATAATTGATCTCAAACAAGGATTCAGTCATCCCTAATCTTCAGAGAGATCAAAGCACAGACACAACTCTAAGCGTTGCAGCTTAAACGTGTAACTACTATGAATACACTAAATGATTATCTTGATTGCTTTTCAAAACAGCTTATAAGTGGGCAATGAACATTTTTGAATAATTGAACTTTCTCTTATCTATCTTATTAATTTCCCTCTTCCATTTCTGTCCCCATTTTTTTCCATAAACGTAGGATATCCTCTTTGCTCAATCTTTTTATACATTCTTCTCTTTAAAATGTAAATTCTCTAGAACGCCTCCTTTCTAAGATTATCTTAAAGGTTTATTGCATTTTTATGGACCTTTTTTGGATCTTCAGATTTACAGGTGGGTTTGATAGAAAATTATTTCCTTTTTTTCTGCATTATTCAAACTCAAACTATGACAAAAACAATTATTAAATAAGTCCAAAACTTTAACGCCTGAGCTTTATCTTATACTACCCCCTAGCATAGATTGTTATCACAGTTAAATCTCCACTACTTTTCCATAGCAACAACATGAAGGGATGTATTTTCTGATACTTTGCCTGTGGTAGTATTGGAGGGAGGTCACTGTGAAAACAAATCCTTAACATCTTACAGAAATAGACACTGAGACTCATAAGATTGCCCCAAATCATTATATTTTATAACCCAATCTGGTGTAGTAACTTGTCAAATTTGTGCTGTGATGAAAGTGAAGATTTCAAGAACTTCTTATGGTTTTCACATTCATTCAGCCCTATGGAAGTCTTGTGTCTCCAAAGAAAAGCAATGGATCCTTACATAATCGCATGACTTCAGAAAATGAGTCCGTAAGAAAAATATCTTAAAATGTGAAAGCTATGAATATTTCAATGCCAAATAATAGGAATTATTCTGATCCTCACATGAAATCTAATTATGTGTGGGACCCGGCAAATGGATAATGCTAATTAATTCCAGGAAACCTTAATAATTTTCATTAGTGTACTTAGTGAAATAAATTGCTCAACCTGGAAGGAATCTAAATTAGAATCAAAACCATTTGTATTACATTTTTATCTCTTTTTTTTTCCTCCATAAACATATATTGTTTAAGGGTTACGTCCTAAAATTGGTATCATTTCTAAGTTTGAGATGCTGTTTTTCATAATTATAAATTATCAGAGAAAAAAAAACTTATCAGTATTATTTAAAACTTTTTGATGTTTCCATACTGTTTCCACTTTCATTTTGCTTGACAAGATATCTGTTACTCAGCTCATAAAAGAATTAAGCAGAACTTTAAAAGGTGTAATAAGTACTCCAGTGTTCAGGTATTTTGCCTTTTCTTTGCTTCTCACTGTGTATAACACAACAAACCATTTTTACAAGCTCTTTGGAGGTTATCAGCTCATCATGTAGCAGTAAAAGGTTAAGCACTGTAGTCATAAAAACAGTTTCAGAAAGCTTATAACAAACTAAATAGGACAATTAGAAATGCCTAATCTTAAAAAGATGTGCATCACCTTATACTTGGGCCCTACTTTTCAGATCAGGATCAAGCCAATAATGAAACCCCTCTGCTCTCATCCCATGTGCCAAAACCAACACCTGTTATCCTGTTTTGTGAGAGCTTTTAATTTGTGCAATTATTTTATCAGCATTGGAAATCACTCAGAAATAGAAATCAAATGATGCCTAGTTCCTTCACACTGAGAAGTTTCAGGTGAACAAAATTCTACAAATCTGTTCATATTTCTACTGGACCTGCAGAACAATTAATTATTCAATATAGTAGGAGGATAGTTTATTTTAACAATCCCCTGATGCATTTTAATGACCTCTTTCCTTGCTATATGTATGGAATATAACGCCTGGGGCAAGCAACAATTCCTCCTTGTCTGATCTTTTGCAGAATAACACCCTCTTCCACTTTCCTATGATTTTGATAAAGTATAGCCAAAGATCTGTGAAACCCACAGGAAAGAGAAATGTGTCTGCCTTTGAGTGATGACTGTCTTTAGAACCCAAGGTCTGAGTTGCAGAAATGCTGAGCAATGGAAATGAAAGAAAATTTTGCTCCAAGCATAGAAATTACTGTATAAAGCTAATACTGTGGAGTGCTGAGTCTCAGGAGTACCCAAATCAATAGATACTTTTATCTCATTCGTTCTGCTTCTAGTTAGCACAAGTAGGATAATGACACCACATCTCAAAGGAATGTTTGAAAAAAATTTAATTGTAATATTTATGAAGCTGCAAATACACTAATGAGTCCCAGAGTACAGCCCAGGGGAAATGAATAATTTCTTCAAAGGAAGGTTTGAATAGTGAAAGTAGATAAAACATGTGGCTATACAATAAAAGTAGATATATATTGATTAGCTGTTCATTACATTACACATGAAATTAATGGTGCAGAGGTCTTGTGAAAAGATATGTAAGTGTTATTTCTCTTAAGAGAAACTTTGTTTAACTTGAGAGGGAACTCATTTGTTGAATGTTAATATCTTGTGCTCTGAGTCTAATGTCCAGTGCATTTAATAAGATTTAGTTGAGCAAATTTTTATTTTCTTAGAATAACTAATAGATTGAAGAAGCACAAAACTGTATTTTATCATTTAATTTCTCCTAAATAGTTAAGTCTTTAAAATAAGTAGTAATAAGTCAGAACTCCTGTTCTCATGTTCAGTAGCAATAGGTTAGGACAATATTCATGTGTGATGAACATGTGAACAATTTATGTTCACTCATGAATTCCATTCTAGCCAGAAGAAAGAGAAACAAGATTTTATACATAACAGAATAGAAATTCTCAAAAAGCATAATATCATCTGAAGACACTCCATATATTTTATTTTTTTAAAAAAACAAACTGTTTTAAAATGTTAAGATTTGCCTATATTTTTTATGCAAACAAGGATGAATGTGCAAATTACATCCGTGTCCTTCACCGATACAACAGAACACATCTTCTGGCTTGTGGAACAGGAGCTTTTGATCCACTCTGTGCTTTTATTAGAGCTGGGCATACATCAGAGGTAAGAAATCTGTTTTACATATATGACTTTTGCTCTGTATTTTAGAAAGTCCTCCCTAGCTAAAAATAAATGTTTAAATTCAAATGCTCAGAGCTCTTAAGCAAAACATTTTTACTGATGAAATCTAATGATGGTCCAAAATTCGGTCTCCCTAGTAACGGAAGACACAGTCTAGATAATTATTCAAAGAATTAGAAGCCCTTTTCATCCTAGAGTTTTATTACTAGATGAACTGGCATAACATTTCTTAAAGCAAAATTATTCTTTTTAGGTAATAATACAGTAAAAACCCAAACGTTGAATGTGTTTAAAGATGGAACACTTTGATCCCTTTTTTTGTTAAATTCACTTTCTTAGTTTTGTTCACATTCAGCAAGTCTATATTGCTTCCTTAACAACACTAACAGGTGTGTGAAGTAGTACCATAGCAAAAGTCATTAAATCACACATATAATATGTATCGTCAATGTATTTTTATGCAAAAACCAAGCTTTCTGAATTTTTCAGAAATGTGGATCCTTGCAGTCTGAGGTTGGGGTTTAAGAACTTGACTAACAAGTGCACCAATGTCTTTCTTACTTTAAATTGGTATATAAGCTTCCTCAAGCACTGGACCTGCTCCTGATTATATAAAACCTCTGTGCTGCTACATGGAGTCCAAAATGTTGAACAGTTGGTCCTGCTTAAATCAGCCTTCATCCTGCTCTCATTACCACTCTAAAAATACTCACAGAATTTATGAAAGCATTTTGAAGCTCCCTACATGCCTTCTTGACAGTCTGAATTTCTTCAGTTGTTATTAGATTGTACATGTGGTTGCATTAACTTGCATTATAAAGTCTGGACCTTAGAAGTCCAGTTGTAAATATCCAGTCAGAAGTTCAAGGTGAAAATTGGCCACTGAGGGTAGGCTTCTATCATATACTTAGCAATGCCAGGGAGATAATTTATTTTATTACAATACAGAAACAATGGAGCTTCTTTGGCCCTTCAGTCTCTTTTCATTAGATTTGTTCATGCTCCAAAGTCTGAGAAGAAATGAAAGCGGACTTATGTGTTTTATAGTCCTCAGAGACAGTTCTGTGAAGTCAATGAACTTTGCCCTGTCATACTGAATGAGAATAAAAAAGTGAGACAGTGAAAGATGTAGGACTCCAGTAGACAAAAGAAGTGCCACTGTAGGAGGTGCCACTGTTTTATCTGGGCTGCCCTGAAGCTGGAGGAGGGCTTGAATAGGCTACTAGAGTGGACCACTATCTAGGAATCTGGAGAAACCCAGTCGTGTCATTTGCATAAGGGGACAACACATGAAGACCCAGGGTAACACGGTCTTTTCCTGGCAATTTCAGGAACAAATGATGGATTATAGACTTGCTTACTTGGGTAATGTATGATGAATTCTCATGGTAAAGCCCTCCTTGAGGGCATGTCATGGAGGTGGTACTGGAGCACCACCGAAAGGGAATTCTCGTATATCCTAAGGCAAGAAAAGAGGGGATTTCAAACTGATTACAATTATATGAATACACATTAGAAGTGGGTTTAATGTTGTATGTTATCTGTATAATAGATGTAATGTATTTTATAAATGTATTATGTAATACATACAGCAAAAAACATAAAGACCTGCTGTGCTGATGGATGGTCAAGGTGATAGATGAATATGAGAAAAAGCAGAGCTTCAGAATAAATGAAGTTGCAACTGTTTTTCTTTCTATTTTCCAAAATTTCAGAACGTGTGCCAAAAGTTTAAAGCTATGTAATAAACAGTCAATTGATCTGTGTAAATGTAATGAAAACAGGAAAAAAAGAGAAAAGCATTGTATTTAAAGTTTTCTGCAGCTGAACTGCAAAATAAACTGCAAAATCTCTCCTATTTGCTAAAAAAAAATGTTTAAGTTTTCTGCAGCTGAACTGCAAAATAAACTGCAAAATCTCTCCTATTTGCTAAAAAAAAAAAAAAAACCCTTGAAGCTTAGTTTCTACTTATGTTGTACAAGGTTAAGGTCTATGTTATTTTCTTGTGCAAAAGAAACAGCGCAAATATACATTGCTGCATTTTTGCAAAAGCTTTGTCCTTACTTTTAAATGTGGTTTTAGTTAAGCATGAGACTCTGAAGAAGACATCATTTTTTTTTCTTGGTTATCTCATAACAGTTTTTTCTCTCTCTCTTTTTTTTTTTTTCATTTCTCACAGATTTCCAGTTTACTTTCTCCTAGCCTGACTGGTTTTATCCCATGTGTTAATTTTTAAGTGCTATGATCAATATTTAGTTGACACTTTTGTATGTAGCGAGTTAAAGCAAAAATTCAGATCCAAACTCCAAACTCATACCTATAGTATTACTTACTGGGCTGTGTTCATTGGGAGAAATAGGAAAATTGGAGCTGTTTTAAAATAAGCACTTCACTAATTAGATAAATATGAGTGGAATATATAAAGTTTTGTAAAGGGTATTTGTATAAGTCAATGAAGGCATTTACTTTAGTAAACTGATTTGAAGAAGTCTTTCTGAGGAAAAAGACATTCCTTTTTTCCTGGTCATGTGGTTCTAATTTGCCTTGTCATGCTCTAAGGTCCATTCCATGCTGTGCACCTTCCTCAACTATCAGAAGTACCTCAGAAATTAAGACCCCAGTGCTGCTACTTGAATTTATTTGAATTGCACAAAGACACTGTCTGCTAAAATGGAGGAAGGAAATATGTCATCAGCAATTATTTTAAAAGAAGGCAACTTTGCTTGTCTTCATTGCTCTTGTCATGAACCTCCTGTCAGACTTCCTGCTACAGTTTAAAGGAAGCCATGTCTGTATATTTAGGAATGCTATTCAAGAAAGTATAAGCAATGAGCTGATAAAAATAGAAAACAAGCAAACAAAAACTATGAAGCAAGATTTGTGTATAAGACTGAGTATGGCCGGTGATCTTCCTCTTATGTATCACTGTCCTTCCTTCCCTTCTTTCTGTTTTTTACTCTCCCTTGTTAAACTGAACTGCTAGAATTTTATGTACACTAAAGTCATGGGAAAGTTACCACTTTGCTGTCTGAGTAGACCAACAGAAAATATATTTGCAACAGTAAGAGTAGCTATACCAGTTGCCAGTCTGTGAAAAACTGGCCATCGGGGTTAAAAAGAGACAGGTGCCATGGGTATGGAAGGTTAAAAACAACATAAGGTATGTGATAGAGTGGGCAAATTGCAGTCTTGTTTCCTATGACTGATAAGGACATCGTGTAACTGCAGGAACCGAGTATACAGATCAGATCACCAAACTGCAGTTCAGACTCCCACAATTGCTTTCTCCTTAGAACAGTCTCCTGACCAATGACTGCTCATTATTTTCCACTAGTTTCCTCCAGCTCAACTCTTGCCTCTTGCTCCATTTCTGACTTTCCCAGAAAAGGGAAAATAACAAACGATTGACAGCTGCTCCCCAAACTCATAAGGTTTGGGGAAATAGCCTCATCAGGGAATATAGAGATTCTTACACAGTGCAGCTGGCTCACAGTCAGACTCAGCTGGAGCAAAGAGATAACATCATACTCCTTGCATTTTTCTGAATTTATTTTTATTACTAAGGACAGTTGTACAAAAACAGGTTTTCTTTTCCTTAAAAACTTCTGCTTTCTTCTCAGATCATGTCACAGTTCCTCACAGCTAGCTTGATAGTGTTCCACAGCTCCTAAGATGTTGCTAATAAACAGAAAATTTGGTTAATGGAATTTTAATATGAGGTGGAGACAGTCCTAAGGAGAGGAAGTATCTACGTAAATATCTGAAGCAAAATAAAATAGCAGCACAAATGGACAAATAGGAGATAAACACAGAAAATGTCAGTAAAAAAACTTTAAAAATATATGATGAGGTTATCCTGTTGTTTATAAACAAGACCAAAACATGTTTCTTAAAAAAAATAGTGAGCCCCAGACTTTTTCATAGAAGGGCAAATGCTTGTTTATAACATGTAGTTACTGTGTGAAAATAACTATTTTTTGAGATTGTTGATATTTTTACTAAATATATTGAACTTCAGCATAAGTAAAATCTAATTTTGATTTAGTGAGCCCCAGACTTTTTATTAGAAGGGCGAATGCTTGTTTATAACATGTATTTACTGTGTGAAAATAACTATTTTTTTGAGATTGTTGATATTTTTACTAAATATATTGAACTTCAGCATAAGTAAAATCTAATTTTGATTTTAAAACTAAGTAGCTTCTGGGGAATCTCTTTAAATAGCAGAAGATGTATTTGAAGTTTATACACCTATTTGAAACAATAACAGTTTCCAGACATGTTGAGGTAGGAGGAGAAGGGAGAACTGTTATAGAGGACTTCTGGGTATCCAGATATATGGCAAGTGAAGAATATAAAGCTGGATTCACTCTTCCATATGGATCTATGTATCAATATCATCAATAAAAGGAAAATACTTGCTTTCCTTTAAGCATATGTTTCATCAGTGTTTCTTGAGCCAAGAGAAGATGTAACCACCTATGTAAAATTGTAGGGTTCTTAGGTTATAACAAGAATGTTAAAAAAAAAAAGATATAAGAGTTTAAGAACTTGGTAGAATAACAGGACTCTATTATTTACAACCAATGATTGAACAGGTCCAATTTGGTGTGAGAAAATATCCATTTGACATTTCTGTTCTTGGTGGGTCTCCAGTCCTCTGTTGTGGGAAAATATGTTTCACTACTGGCTTATAAAAAAGCCCTAAAAGCCATTAGGTAAGAAAACAGAACATTACAGTCCTTCATTTTAACTATGATAATACCCCAGAGCCATGTTCATATCCATACTTCATGGCATGCTGTATCCTGATTATTTCAATAAAAAGGCAATATTTTAGTGAAAAGAAGCATTCTGCCACCTGGATAAAGCCTGTCTTACATTCTTACATAACTACAAATCCATCCTTTCCCATCAAAAACAGGTATGAGCAGTGTCTTGCAGAACATTGATCTCTGTCACCTGCCACTGAAGTCGAAAGG